GGGGGGGGGGGGTAATGTAGTAATGAATGAGAAATTACGAGGGAAACATCCAGATAAATGAAGGCTGGGATCTTCAAAAAGTGCTTCACAAACAGAATGAATCTTGAGCAAGGCAGGATGACTGGAAAAGCAGGTAAGGTATTTCAGAAAGCCCAAAAAAATGAGAACAGGCAAAAATGTCTCACCTCTGATTATACACATCCCAAATACATAATCAAATGAAACTCATCCTTTTAGTGTTGTTTTTTTTTTTTGGAAGCTGTTTCCTTTTCTGCAGAATTGCTCTGAGGAATATATGAGGTCTATGCCTCTTGGAACTGTCTTCAGATCAACTGCCCAGCAGCACAAGAAAATCACTCTTGTGCTTAGTCACAGCCAAAGTGCAACCCTCAAAACACAACCAGGCCTACTCCCCTCCCCAGTAGGCAAAATGCACGTTACTGTCTATGGCTGCCTGCTGTGTTTATTTGTATCACATCAGGAATTACTTGTAGGCAAGTACTTCATTATGTCATGAATCTTGCAACGTTCATAACTTCTAAGGAGCCAGACACAGTGAGTACTGCAAACGATATCAGTCTAACAAAATGCAATTAATTGGTTTGTGTGACGGTAAAGGTGAATATCTTGACTGTGGAGGTGTTTACTCAAGGCTACACATGATAAAATCACGGATAGCACCACATACACACAAGTGTATGTATAAGGTGACTGGTGAAATGTGAATAAATATATTGATTGTAGCAATGTCAATTTCTTAGTTCTGTTATTGTAATGTAACCTATAAGATGTTAACTTTGGGACAGCCTGGAGAAAGGTACATGGAACTTCCCTGAACATTTCTTTGTAACTTCTGTGAACCTACAGCTATTTAAAAATAAAAAGTTAAATCAGTGCCTTTGGTGAAGTAATCATTTATCTAGATGTCCCCAGAAGAACTTGGTATCCTGGGGCTCCTGTTACACAGGGTGGGGCAAAAGTAGGTTTACAGTTGGGAGTATGTGAAACAGTTTATTCTTGTAATAACTGCTTATTAATTATTGTAATATTTTCTATACAAACAACTGTAAACCTACTTTTGCCCCACTCTGTATGTAGTAAAGACAACTCATTGCTTGATATTATTCTGTTTTATCATACTCTGTACTGTTCTGTGCTTTATAAAGGGAAGCAACTGCCTGGACCAAAGAGCTGACTCTCAAGGGTAGGTAGGTTACAATGTGCCCTAATGGGGAAGGTTGAGAGACTATGCTATAGAGGCAGGCCGAGTACATGGGAATCTACTATTCTGCGTAAAAGGGGGTAAAGGGTGTCTTTCTGGAACGCCTGCCACCTACCAGTCAGCCTTCTTCAGGCAGTCGACCACGGCTCCTCGGCCCAGCAGGTACTGCACGCAGTCCCGGTGACCCATGGAGGCAGCTTCGTGCAGAGGCCGCTTGTAGTCTCGGTTGGTGGCCTCAAGGTCCATGTCCCAGGCCTCGGCCAGATAGGCCAGGATGTCCCGACGTCCGTGGCGGGCAGCGCAGTGTAGCAAGGTGTCCCCAGCCGGCCCCGGGAAGCCAGCGCGCCCCGCTCGCTGCAGTTCCTCCCGCAGGGCGCACAGTCGGCCTTCTTGCACCAGCCTGAAGAGCCGTCTTGGGTCCCCGGGCTCCCCCATGGTCACCGCGGCCAGGCGAGGCGTCCGAGTTCCCAGCCCCCCCTGCGCAGAGTGGACGTACTGCCCGCCAGCTAGGTGGCCGCGCTTCCCCATGCCTGGTGGTTAGCGCCCGGCAAACAACTTGCCTTGCGAACGCGCGCTCCAGATGTGGGCGTAACCGAATTTAAAGACGCGCGGCTCGTGCGGAGGCTGCCGCCTGCACGCAGTTCATTTTGGGAGAAACGGCTGAGAGGGGCGCGTGCGGCCTGGCGTCCCCTGGGGCCTGCGCCCACTCTGAGCCCCAGCAGGACCCGCCCGGGCTCTGAGCCGCCGCCAGGGGAGGAGGTCAGCGTGGTGACTCCAGTCGTGAAGGGCCACGACTGAAGCCCGCTCGATGGCAGCTCCGCTCCCACGAGACACCGGTGAAGGAGCCCGCCGCGAGCCGCCACCCGTACTCTTTACCACGGCCACTCCTTCACCCAACCGTAGGCAGCCTCCGCCCCGCCGCGGCCGCTCCACCGGTCCCCGAGAGCTCCGCGGAACTCTGGGAAAAGTTTTCGCCGGCTTTCTCAAGCTAGCGGAAGGACAGGCTTGGAGAGGTCGCGAACCTTGGGCACGCCCCCTCCGCGCGCACGTTCCGATTGGCCGCGAGGGAAATCCATCAGCCCCGGCGGCGGGCTCTTCCCGGGGCTGCGGCGGCGCGGAGCTGTCAGAGGAAGTCCAAGGTCTGCTCAGACTAGCAGGGACTCCGGAACTGGGAGGCCGGGCAGCCGGGGTCCCGAGGCGACGGAGGCGGCTGGAGCCCCGGTTCGGAGCGCCATAGTGCGTGAGGCTGCGGACGTGGCAGGGAGCTCAGGCGGGGCTCCGCGCTGTGAACACTTAACCTTTTGGGGTCCTGAGCTGGGGTCTGGTCTCTCGGGGAGCGGGGTGGGCCTGCGGGGGCGAAGGGGTGGACGCCGGGTCTGAGCTGTCCTCGGTGGGTGAGCTGCAGAGGCGCGGCGGGGCTTGCACGTGGGAGGCGGAGGGGCGCCCCTACACTGCGTCCTTGCCCCCGGGAGGTGAGGAGCTCGGGAAGTGGGGAGCTCGTCATTTCTCGGTGGTTGTGGGAATCACGGGGGAAGTGGCCTTAGCTGCGGACAAGCCAGCATTCCTTTTCTACTCTGGTGTTTTGACCTTGGGCGAGTCATTTTAGTGCGTCCTTTTGCCTCTTTCATTTGTAGCCTCCCTCCCCCTTACCTGATATTAAGGAAAATTGAGGTGGTGTGGGAAGGCCTTGATCTTGTGGAGGATGCCTAGAGATCTGAGCAAGGGATATGGGTGATGGAAGGGATTTGAGTAGATGTTGAGTCCTTTAGAGATAAAACGGGAGTTGCTACTATTTGCCAAACCTAGAAACAATTCTACTTTGCATATTATATTGCGCTTTGTGGTTTACAGAGCACTTTAGTTATGTAATCCTCAATCAACTCTGTAAGGCATCATTCATTACAGGTGGAGAAATTGAGGCCTAAAGAAGTTAGTGATTTTGCCACTAGAAGTATAAATAATAAAGTCCATGGAAGGAAGGATGGTAGCACCTAGTGAGTGTCTGCCAGTTCCTGGCCCTGTGTTAAAATAAATTAAGGGAGATAAAATGAAAAAAAGACCTCTGGTATGGGCCTATGAAAACAAGCCCATTTTACCAGTGAGCGTATTTAGTTTGTTTAATTTACTGAGCAATATGACAAGAACTAAGTCCAGTATCAACTTTGCCAAAGTGTTTTGTTCCATTGTGTCTTGTCACTTCAAAAAACAGGAAGGCATAAAGTGGTTTGAAATGTATGAAGTTTTAGAACATGCCAAGCATTGTTCCTTCTGCTGCTGTTGGAATCAATGCAAATGGAAGTTAAGGCATCTGTTAGTACCACACTTTTTGCTACTGATGCTCCCTCCAATCCTAATTACAGATCACCCTACCTTCTCTTGCCTTATGCTTCTAGTTTCCCTGTTTTTAAAAACAAAATTGGAATATATTGGTTGCACAATAAGACACTCTTTTAAGTCCAGGTGATTGGTTACTTAACAGGTGTCAGATGGAACTCTGTCTCTTTTGTCTTTTTTGGAAACTTATGTTAAACTGTATTCCCCCTTTAGATAACTAGATGATAATGTATGTGGATCTGTCCACAGCCCCTGTGATTTTCTGGATCAAAAGCTTGGTATACAGGAAACTTAACGGATGCAGCTATTCTGGGGTCTTGCTGGTTTTCTAGTTGGGCTGCCTATTTCTTTTGTGCAGGCTTTTGGAGTTTGTGGTCTGGTCTTTACTGTCTCGTTTTGTATGTAGTCACTTTGGCATTGTGATTTGCTCCCTCTCTGTCTTTTTTCCTTTCTCCTGTGTTATATTTGGTGGTTATTTAGCGTTCAGCAGTGATCATTGATGTCATGATCGTTTGACATGTTTTGTGATCTTTGAGTGTGTGAGCACCAAACTATTGGTATTGGACTTAGAGCTCTAATTTCAGATCTGTTGCCACCATCTTTTCTCTGGTTATTATATCCCTCTGTCCTCCCTGGGCTGATTTTTATTTGAAGATTGAATTTGGTTCTTTCTTTGCCCTTCTGGCCGTGGAACCATCTACTTCTAGAAGTATCTCACCAAAGCACCTCAATTCTTATGTCTCAACTCATTCACATGTCTTTTGAGGACCAGTCTTATATTTCACAGTACCTCCTGGAGCTTTACCTGGCATTCCACAGATAACTTTAAAACAAAACAAACAACTATTTTCAAAACTGAACATTTTCATCCTGCCCTCACTCCTGAAAAAAGTGATTAAAAGAAAAACAATATTTCTCCTTTATTCCTTAATGTGGTTAATGATATTTTTACTGAAAATGTTCATTTTCTTTGTCCTTTCTTTTTCATCTTTCTTTTCCAGTCTTGTTAGAAAAGACTTGTTGATCTTCACTTTCCCCTGCTCCCTATGTCTGCTGTGCTCAGGCCTTTACCAACCCCCACTTTGGTTAGTAAAGTCACGTTCTGCCTTGTTTTCCAGACAGTGATTACCCTACCTCCAGAGTTACTGTTCTAAACATGTAAATTTGATTGTGCATTGACCCTGCTTGAAAGCTAGGTGATTCTCTGAATTCTCTGAATTCTCTGATAATGTCCAATTTCCTTAGCATTATATGTATTTAAGGACCTTTTATAGTCTGTGCCTCCAACTTCCTTTTCCAGTTTTGTTCCCCATTCGTGAACCTCTTGTACTAATGAAACCCAACTTCCCGCCACACCAATGCTGTGCTGTCTCTGTGTTTTTGCACATATTGTTTCTTTTGCCATACTGCATCCTGTTCATATTTTTAAGCTGAGCTCTTCGTAAAGCCTTTTCAGCTTTCCTAACTGTCCACTTTTCTTTACTTCTATAGCACTTCATGTGTTCATTTGTGCGGAACTTATATTGCCTTATGTATAGTAATTTGTGTTTGTTTTGGTAGCTGCCTTATGGGCTGGCTAAGTCTTACTCATTTTTGTATCTTCAGTGTCTAAAATAACATTTGACATCAGAGATGCCAAGAGAAGAAGTACTCATGGTGTTTATAATGCATTTTGGACATAGCAGATACTTAAAAATGGTTGTGCAATGAACTGACAGTGGAAAAGGCTTCCAAATATATAAAAATATGTCCTAATCTGTAAAAAAATGATTTTATTGTTTTTCCTTTTCTTTTTTAAAAAATAATTTCTTCTTTTCCTTGTGAGAAACACATAGAGAAAAACTCCCTCCATCCTAGTTTGCAATATTAAGTGAACGCGTCTCCAAGGGAGAAGCAGGTGTTTGCAGGATGTGAGAGAAGCTAAGGATGATTGAGCCTGGAACCTAGATCTTTTGGGTGTGTAGAGAAGTAGGCTGTGGTGCTGGGAAGGACCTGGCTTTGCATCAAGAGTGAGTAGTCGTGAAGGAGCTAGCTCTGTAGTGTTTTCTTTCTGCATATGTTTCTTTTAGAACTAACGAGGACACAATATTTTGAAGTTTTTCCATTTTGAGTCTACAATATTTAGTGATATTTTCCCTGTAGTTATGTTATCCATATATTTGCTTGTTATCAAATTGTTGGTTATGACAATGCACAGTGGCTAAAAAATAGTGACATAGAAATTAAACCTGAGGTTTTTAGAAACTGCTCTAAAGCTTTCCTGGACATGGAAGGGTGAATGTTAAAGCAGAAAGAACACTGGACTTGGGGAGTCAGAAGACCTAAATTCCATCACCTGCAAGCTGTGTTGTGACTTCAAGCAAGTCTTCTCTGAGCCCCAGTTTAATCATGGCACAATTGTAGGATTTCGTGAAGATCAGATGAGAGTATGTGAAAGAACTTCAAAAGCTAAGAAGCACTTAGGAGCTGTAAGATAGTAGAAGGCTTCGAAGACAACCTACACTTCTTTAGAGGGAAGTGTTGTAGCTGTGCAGTTGTTCGTTTATTCTGCAGTTGTTCATGGAGCAATATTGCAATGGGTGCTGGGGCTGAGTTCGTTCCTCGTACTTCCTTCCCGCCAGACTAGAGATATTTCAGTCCAAGGCTGGAAGACATGTCAGTACAGCCTTACACAAACAATTGTTAATACTGCAATAATAAAATATACTCCAGTAGTAATAATGTCTATATGACACATATTAAACACATAGTTATACAAATAACTATGACAAATATCTCAGAGACCTATGGGGTGGTTTCATTATGGCAGAGTTCTTCCTGGCTGGAATGAATTTTTTCTACTGTATTGGAGTTGAGGAATGACACCGCTAACTGTGTTTAAATTATGCTCTTAGATCTCAGAGGTGGCATCTTATCTTGTGAAGTACTTGAATCCTTGTCATAATGAGCTACATTGCAGTGCATCTCTGATGTCTCCATAGGAAACATAAAAGGGAAAGTGTCTACTTATTGATCTTCACAGAGTCCCTCAGAGAAAAGTAAGAGGCTTGTGAGGAACTAACAAGATGAGGTTAGGGACTCAGTAAGTTGTCTAGATTAGAAAACTGCCCTCTATGTTTCTTTTTATGCAGGGGTGGGAAACGTCCAGTCTGTGGGCCATATATAGCCTGCAAAATCATTTGGTCTGGCCCTGGCAAGGCAACCTCCAGCAGGACTCAAAATTCAATAAATCTAGGAGCCTTTTTCATTGCTAATTTTTAAGTTGATAATTTTGTATGACCCTTGAATGATGTTATAAATATCCAGATGACCCTTGGCAGAAAAAAGGATCCCCACCCCTGTTTTCATGGGTAGTCTCTCCAGTCAGGTCCCTTGCACTAGAGTTACCTTGATTTTAAAAAAATAGTAGTCATCTCCTCCAGGAAGTGTAGGTACTTACTATCTTCATCTTGTTCATTTAGGTCTGTAACCTGTAAGTTTTAGAGTACTTTTTGTTATAATTATGGATTAGTAAAGGAAAGGGAAGAAAGGAAATTATTTGTTATCAATTACAAATGATCCTGGGATGATTAGGGTAAGCTTGGCTATAGTAACAGATGCAAACGTAATGACCTCACAATCAGAGTTCATTTCTCAATCCTATAATAATA